GTTATTTTTGGACCAAAATGTATTTTCGATGCTTCAACACACTCTAACTAACCCACTGATGTCACATGGACTACTTTGATGATGTCTTTATTTCCTTTCTGGACAAGGACAGTATACCGTACATACATTTTCAATGGAGGGACAGAAAGCTCTCGGACTAAATCTAAAATATCTTAAACTGTGTCCCGAAGATGAACGGAGGTCTTATGGGCTTGGGACGACACAAGGGTGAGGCATTAATGACATCATTTTCATTTTTGGGTGAACTAACCCTTTAAGAATGACGGGACACTCATTTATATGACACTTTATTCAACAGGAATAACAGCTCGTTCCGCGCGTCATCACGCTATTTCTACGTCTTTGCACATGCGCAGTCCTTTCAGTTTCTGTCTTCAATCCGATCAAGTGTTTACATGTCCTCTCGATCGGATTAGAAAAGGAATAAACCACCTCTTTCAATCGGATCGAAATTTCATTCTGATCGAGCTCGATCGGATCGATTAATGTGTTTACATGAAGGCTTTCCAGTCCGATTGAGCCGTCAATCCCATTACTGACGGATTATTTGGTTGCATGTAAACGTAATCTCAGGTTCTGTTTAAATTAAAAGGTGCAGACCGGTAGCTGAGTATGTTTTAGAAGTTGCTTGTGCAAATACATTGACTAACTACATTTCTGTTTATTCAATTCAATTCACATTTATTTGTATAGCGCTTTTCACAAAACACATCATTTCAAAGCAGCGTTACAGAAAATGCATGAGTCCACATAACAATTTAGAGTGATATGTTATGCATTTCAGAAATGTACATATATACAAAACCACAGTTAGCTAAAAATGTATTAATTTAAACAATGTAATAATTGTATCTGGAAGGTGCGCTCTTGGACGTCAGATGAGGGCAGTAATCTGGGGGTCCTGGTCTCGGTGAGGACTCTAGCGGGTCTTCAGATGGACCTGAAAAGCGTGCGTTTCTCATCCGGCCGTCATCATCATCACAGCAAACAGCCCATGCTGGTCCTGTTCACCGACGACGGCAGGCGGGCGGCTTCTGTCGAGACTCCTAAAGGTTGGACATATGCATCTCTTTATTATCTCACCTGTCCTCTTAGGCTGAGTACTTCTCATATACAGTATCTCTACCCAAAACAGCACTGTGTAGTTTCAGATAAATACATTTCAAGAACATCTTGCTTTAAACTAGCGCTTATTCATTTCAAACCAGGGAGTTTGGGGGTCTGTGGAAAAGTTTGGGGGGGAAAAATGTAACAATGTAAAAAAAAACAAGTAAAAAAAATTGTGATATAGTAAATAAAATATTGTATATATTCAATTATAAAGTATTTAGTAAATAGTAAAACATAAAGTTAATTAATTTATTAAAATAAAAATAGTTTAAATAAATGCCAAAAAAATAAACAATACTTTAATAAATAAAATAATACAGTACAGTACTTTAGAGAGTATAAAAGCATGTAGTAATGCAATAGAAACAGCGTTATTATACTCAACTAAAACTAAAACATATTTCCATTACTTGAAATACAATAAACATTAGCTGAAATAAAAAATAAAAACCCTTATATATATACATATTTACCTATATAACATATATATACTTTTTTTTTTAAATGTCTATATAAACATTTTATAGACAAAATTGCTGAAAAATAAAAAAAATTGTATCTCAATGATGCTAAAATAACACTAAATAGAAATGATTTTACACATTTATAATATAATTTTTTAGGGTGAATTAGGAACATACTTTTAATATAGTAATATGGAAAATATAGTATAAAAAATAAATGCATGATAAAATCTATTACAAGTTAACAATATATATATATATATTTGAAAAATACACTTTTACATTTCTAAGTTAGGCGTTCCTCACGCAAGTATGATCATATTTGGGGTCGGCGGCACCTAAACACTCGTTCTAAACAAGCGGCAAGCCGGAAACCTTCGTGTCTCTCGTTTGAATCCAACACTGAAGTGACTGCAATTCATCGACTGGCCACTATAGACCGGCTCCAAAACAGAGTTAATCCCATAGACCCCCATGTTAAACTGCCCAACTTTACAGCAGAATAAAACATGTTTACAGCCTGGTTCAAAAAGTCTTTTTGGTCTATATAGTTGATTTTGCCCTTCATGACAACTGTGAGGGGGGTGAATTTTTTTATAACTCATCCGTTTAAATTATATTAAGCCTTAAAGTTCTGCATATTTAAGGGCGTGGCCACTTGAGTGAAAGGTGGATTGCCGCTGATGTCACTACTAGCCGTTTATCTGCTGTGTGTTAGCGTCACGTCACTGACCATTTACGTTTATCCGGGAGTGACGCGCAGCCAAGATGGCGACGTCCGGCTCCACTCACTTTGGGCTTTAAAAATGTTTTTCAGAAACCTACGGGTGACGTCACGGACACTACGTCCATATTCTTTTTACAGTCTACGGTTCTAACCTGCACTCCTCTTTCTCTTCAGGTTCAGATGATTCTCCCGTTGGAGCAAGTCTCCCGTTTCCCAGCCTCCCTCTCCCCGCGGCGGCCCGTCGAAACGCTCGATCCGCAGACTTTGACGACAGCGCAGAGAAGATGCCGTGTCAGCGTCTGCCTCTCTACGTGGACTTCGAGGAGATCGGCTGGTCGGGGTGGATCGTGTCTCCCCGCGGATACAACGCTTATCACTGCAAAGGCTCCTGTCCGTTTCCCCTGGGTCAGAACATGAGGCCGACCAACCACGCCACGGTCCAGTCCATCATCAACGCTCTCAAACTGACCAGAGGCATCGAGACGCCCTGCTGCGTCCCGGACAAACTCTTCAGCATCAACCTGCTGTACTTCGACGACGACGAGAACGTGGTGCTAAAGCAGTACGACGATATGGTGGCGGGAAGCTGCGGCTGTCACTGAGAAACACCATTCTTCTGTGATTGCCAGCAGTGTTTAAACTGGGATGAAATTGTAAAAATATGTAAATAGACATGAAATTTTAATATATGGAGGAGATTGAGTCGGTCACTTGTAAAAGATGTAAATTTGTATATTGCATGTTGTGAACTATTATAAAGTCTAAATAAATTCTTACACAAAAATGATGGACGGGGATGATTTTTATTTTTATTCTTGTCATATATTTAAAATACAAACACCTTTAAAAGGAAGATCAACAGAGAACTGAGAAACAAACCGGCCAATCACTGAGGTGTTGAGGATTCCCGGCAAGCCGTTTTGCGTTTAAAAGACGTCTAATAGCCGTCCAAACACAGCCCAGACGTCTAGGCTTAAACCAGGCAAAATTTGGGCTGTCAGTGAAAATGTACTAGACGTGTAAACCATAGCCCAAGAATAGACTAGTCATCAATTAGATAAAGAAATGAAACGAAACACCTTGTAATCACTGTTTACTTTGCTTACATGATGGAATATCATACATCTCGCAAGTTATTTTGGCAAAAACAACATAGGCTTGAAGTGTGTTACTCATAGCCGGACTATATCGGGTGTATAGTTAACCTAGACGGTGAAATGACGGATATTGCTTGCTGGGTTGCCAGCAGTGTTTATTCTGTGAATCTGGACTTTTGTGCAAGGATAAAATTGTAAAATATGTAAATAGACATGAAATTTTAATATATGGAGGAGCTTGAGTTGGTCACTTGTAAAAGATGTAAATATTGCATGTTGTGAACTATTATGAAGTCTAAATAAATAATTTTACAAAAATGATGGACAAAGTTTTATATCTGTGGTTCGTGTCATATATTGCAAATACAAACACCTTTAAAAGGAAGATCAACAAAGCACAACAACTTTCTGATGTAACATGCAGTAACTTTGCTCTGTTATATACGGCATCTGATCTGAATCTGATCTGTCCTTGTGTCTTCCCATGGGATCATATAGGAAAAGGGCCAACTAAAGCAACAGGTGACAGGTAGTATGAGCTGATCGCCTCCTATAGAGTGAAAGTAAAAGAGACAGAGAGAAAACAAGGGGTAAGAAGTAAAACAGCTGCAGGGCTTCCACAGGATCAACTGATACGGTTCAGCTTCTGTGCCAACCAATTAAACTCACAATGGTCAACTAGTGCACGAATGCTTGCATATTTAATGCCATAATTGAGATGCATATTAACACAATACACCAGGCTGCTTTTCACGAGATCTCAAGTCAAAACGCTTTATCAGGAACATTACTGAAACCAGGATGAAAGAGGTGAATAATGCCTGGGTCACATTTCACTCCTCAAAAAACTACAACAACAAAACATATACCACCAGAGAAAAGCCAAATACAAATATAAACTTAGTATAGAATATATTGCTTAACTGTCACTCACACACACACACACACACACCAACCCCGACCCCTAAACCTACCCATCACACAAAACTTTCTGCATTTTTACATTTTCAAAAAACCTTTAATTACTTTATTTTTATAGCAGATTTACAAATGAGGATGTCCCTAAAGGAAGGGTTTTAAAGGAATTTGTCCCCAAAATATAGTTAAGTAGACTACCGGTAAGTAGATAGTTAAGTATATCTTTATAACATTGACCTTCCCAGTACACAGACACACACACACACACACACACACACTCTCTCTCTCTCTCTCTCTCTCTCTCTCTCTCTCTCTCTCTCTCTCTCTCTCTCTCTCTCTCTCTCTCTCTCTCTCTCTCTCACACACACACACACACGCGTTATTTGAAAGTGTAATAATATTTCACAATATTACTGTTTTTACTTTATTTTTCCTCAAACAAATACAGCCAGCATTTATACCAGCAAAATGACTTTTTATGGGATAAACAGAGTAAAAAACAACAACAAAAAAACTGGTCCTTAGTAAAACAACGGCAGGTTAGCAGTTTTTGCTCTGTGTGAATCAGTCAGTAATCTGACGCTGTTAACCCTCCTCTCTGTTTGACCGACAGCACGCATTCATGTCCGAGAGAGACCGCCATTCACGGCAGCTAAATGATGAAATACTGCCATTATAACAGAACTAAAGGCCGACACCTGATCTGCCGTGTCTCACCGAGGCCTTTTGTGCCAGTATTTCATATCTGAAATATCTGCTGGCATACGCTGCAGACCACAGGGAGTTTGCCATGGCACTGCGAGGATGGGGAACAAACAGACCATCTTTACATCCCAGCAACTGGACGCATATCAGGTCAGGCCATTTGACATCATTATTTTGGATATTGCACAAGCGTTCAAAACTTTGGGGTTGCATCTTCAATGCTTACTTTCACAATAGGTTGCATTTATTTGATCAAAATGATACACTTTAAAATGACTGTCTATGTGAATGTATTGCAAAATATAATTTATTCCTGAATTTTCAGCATCATTACTCCAGTATTCAGTCAGTGTCACATGATCCTTCAGAAATCACTCTAATATGATGATTTGATGCACAAGATCAACATTTATTATTATTATTATTGTCAATGTTGAAAACAGCTGTGCTGCTTCATATTTTTGTGGAATCTGTGGTAAATTTTTTTCATAATTCTTCATGAACAGAAAGCTCAAAAGAACAGCATTTATTTGAAATACAATATTTTGCAACATTATAAATGTATTTACTGATGTTTGCAACATAAAAGCATTACTTAAAAAAAAAAAAAAATCTTACTAACCCCAAACTTTTGAACTCTGTATATCTCACCTGCATCTTAAAAATGTAAAAACTGTCAAAATTAGTGCACTTTTGTGAAATAGTCTACACTCACCTAAAGGACTATTAGGAACACCATACTAATACTGTGTTTGACCCCCTTTCGCCTTCAGAACTGCCTTAATTCTACGTGGCATTGATTCAACAAGGTGCTGAAAGCATTCTTTAGAAATGTTGGCCCATATTGATAGGATAGCATCTTGCAGTTGATGGAGATCTGTGGGATGCACATCCAGGGCACGAAGCTCCCGTTCCACCACATCCCAAAGATGCTCTATTGGGTTGAGATCTGGTGACTGTGGGGGCCATTTTAGTACAGTGAACTCATTGTCATGTTCAAGAAACCAATTTGAAATGATTCGAGCTTTGTGACATGGTGCATTATCCTGCTGGAAGTAGCCATCAGAGGATGGGTACATATTGGCCATAAAGGGATGGACATGGTCAGAAACAATGCTCAGGTAGGCCGTGGCGTTTAAACGATGCCCAATTGGCACTAAGGGGCCTAAAGTGTGCCCAAGAAAACATCCCCCACACCATTACACCACCACCACCAGCCTGCACAGTGGTAACAAGGCATGATGGATCCATGTTCTCATTCTGTTTACGCCAAATTCTGACTCTACCATCTGAATGTCTCAACAGAAATCGAGACTCATCAGACCAGGCAAAATTTTTCCAGTCTTCAACTGTCCAATTTTGGTGAGCTCTTGCAAATTGTAGCCTCTTTTTCCTATTTGTTGTGGAGATGAGTGGTACCCGGTGGGGTCTTCTGCTGTTGTAGCCCATCCGCCTCAAGGTTGTGCTTGTTGTGGCTTCACAAATGCTTTGCTGCATACCTCGGTTGTAACAAGTGGTTATTTCAGTCAAAGTTGCTCTTCTATCAGCTTGAATCAGTCGGCCCATTCTCCTCTGACCTCTAGCATCAACAAGGCATTTTCGCCCACAGGACTGCAGCATACTAGATGTTTTTCCCTTTTCACACCATTCTTTGTAAACCCTAGAAATGGTTGTGCGTGAAAATCCCAGTAACTGAGCAGATTGTGAAATACTCAGACCGGCCCGTCTGGCACCAACAACCATGCCACGCTCAAAATTGCTTAAATCACCTTTCTTTCTTATTCTGACATTCAGTTTGGAGTTCAGGAGATTGTCTTGACCAGGACCACACCCCTAAATGCATTGAAGCAACTGCCATGTGATTGGTTGATTAGATAATTGCATTAATGAGAAACTGAACAGGTGTTCCTAATAATCCTTTAGGTGAGTGTATATAGCAAGGTTTAAAGTTAAAATGGTCAAGATAAGAGTGATATTCAAACTGTTATGGTTATCAGCTATATTTATGAATATGTATGAATGCTTTGCACCTCATTATTATTTTCCTCAAACAATAAAAAATGAGCATGAATGCTGCTTTGTAAATCATTGCATGTTTTTGCTTCATTTTGAAGGACTGCACTTATTTCACCAGAAAAGAAATTCTGAGGTGAGATACGCAGTTTTCACTTGTTTGTTTAATATGGCTGAGACTGAAAAAGCCTCTAAGCTGCACTATAAAACATGCTGGGTTGTTTTAACCCAATTTGGGGTCAAATATGGAGAATCCCAAACGTTGGGTTAAAAATGTAATTCAAATTTTTAGAGTTAGTCCATATTTGACCCAAAGTTAGAGTGTCACTAAATAGGCGTTACCCATGCATAAACAGTGAAGATGTCAGTGTCACATAGGTCTACTTCCATATAATGTCTCTATGCATGTTGTCTTTCCCCAGACTGTTTCACCGATACCGTGATTTGGCTCCCCAGCTCGTGCCGCTGGACTACACCACGGGGCCGGACGTGCGTTTGCCGTACGAGCTCATTGGCAGCATGCCGGAGCTGAAGGTACAGCGCATCTCATCTGTGTTCCTCATCTATTATGAAACTCCTACTAATTGATCGCAGTCTTGGTGGGGTTAAGCGTTATCAGATACTCGCAACTCAAGAGAACCGACAGCTCAGTTTAATCAAGTGTTTGTGAAGTATTAGTGAAGAGGAGCATTTGGTTGAGAGACACAGAAACAGACCTTATGCAATATATATGATGGACTGTTTTAACTGTGGCACGACGAGTCCCAGTGAAATACCACTAGTAAAATATTAATCATAATTAAGATTTTCAGAGGTGCCGATTTCATATGAATACCTACGACATGAATAGTACTATGATATTTATTGTGGGGTTTTGATGGCCTGTCACTTGAGCCCTGCATGCGTTGTGTATTAATCTTATTGCTCTTTTTTGGAGCACAGATAGTGAATGTAATGAATTTTTGTAGTTGAAATGAAATATGGTAAAACTAGTGAACAGTACAACAAGTGGCGAGATTTTTGATCCAGAACCTGCTTTGCTTTGTTTAATACTGCAATTGATCTTGATAGTTTTGATTGTACATAATTAATGTGTGATTTCCAACTGATTCTGTCATCTACAATTACCCCAAGAAACTTATTTTCATGAAACTTATTTTCATCTATTTGTATGTTCACGTGAATGTTTATATTACAATTCCCAAATAACATTATTTTAGTTTTGTTTAAATTTAATGATAATTTATTTCTATCAAACCATATTTTTAATTTGTTCATTTCTTTAGTGGCCTCCTTCACAAGTTGCTGTAAGTTTTCACCTGAACAGAATATATTTGTATCATCTGCAAATAACACCATCTTCAACAACTTATACTAAACATACACTCACCTAAAGGATTATTAGGAACACCTGTTCAATTTCTCATTAATGCAATAATCTAATCAACCAATCACATGGCAGTTGCTTCAATGCATTTAGGGGTGTGGTCCTGGTCAAGACAATCTCCTGAACTCCAAACTGAATGTCAGAATGGGAAAGAAAGGTGATTTAAGCAATTTTGAGCGTGGCATGGTTGTTGGTGCCAGACGGGCCGGTCTGAGTATTTCACAATCTGCTCAGTTACTAGGATTTTCACGCACAACCATTTCTAGGGTTTACAAAGAATGGTGTGAAAAGGGAAAAACATCTAGTATGCTGCAGTCCTGTGGGCGAAAATGCCTTGTTGATGCTAGAGGTCAGAGGAGAATGGGCCGACTGATTCAAGCTGATAGAAGAGCAACTTTGACTGAAATAACCACTCGTTACAACCGAGGTATGCAGCAAAGCATTTGTGAAGCCACAACACGCACAACCTTGAGGCGGATGGGCTACAACAGCAGAAGACCCCACCGGGTACCACTCATCTCCTCTACAAATAGGAAAAAGAGGCTACAATTTGCAAGAGCTCACCAAAATTGGACAGTTGAAGACTGGAAAAATATTGCCTGGTCTGATGAGTCTCGATTACTGTTGAGACATTCAGATGGTAGAGTCAGAATTTGGCGTAAACAGAATGAGAACATGGATCCATCATGCCTTGTTACCACTGTGCAGGCTGGTGGTGGTGGTGTAATGGTGTGGGGGATGTTTTCTTGGCACACTTTAGGCCCCTTAGTGCCAATTGGGCATCGTTTAAATGCCACGGCCTACCTGAGCATTGTTTCTGACCATATCCGTCCCTTTATGGCCACCATGAACCCATCCTCTGATGGCTACCTCCAGCAGGATAATGCACCATGTCACAAAGCTCGAATCATTTCAAATTGGTTTCTTGAACATGACAATGAGTTCACTGTACTAAAATGGCCCCCACAGTCACCAGATCTCAACCCAATAGAGCATCTTTGGGATGTGGAGGAACGGGAGCTTCGTGCCCTGGATGTGCATCCCACAAATCTCCATCAACTGCAAGATGCTATGCTATCAATATGGGCCAACATTTCTAAAGAATGCTTTCAGCACCTTGTTGAATCAATGCCACGTAGAATTAAGGCAGTTCTGAAGGCGAAAGGGGGTCAAACACAGTATTAGTATGGTGTTCCTAATAATCCTTTAGGTGAGTGTATGTCATTAATATACAAAATAAATAGTTTTGGTCCCAACACTGACCCCCTATGGATAATGTGTCCATAGTGGACTCTAAGTGGTGCTAATAATGGGGCCGAGGTGGGCTGCACACAAAAACATTATGGGGCTCACATTCGTGATCACACTGGACCACAGTGGGTGAAAATTAGGCCCCATTTATTAATTTCTTTAAAGATTCCAGTGGGTAAAATAATTTGCTACTATGCAAATTTCACTTTCAAACCACCCCAACTCTGTTAAAATGTTTTTTTATATAGCCTATATAAACCTGTCCCGGACAAAACAAAGAATTCTTAAAATCTGTTGATTTTATCTGGTGCTCTATACATTTTCAAATTGCATTATAAAATATTTCCACTGTAAAGAAAAAGACTTCAACTCGGAATGTGTAAATCATGTGGATTTTTTGTTATATATTGAACTTTAAGATAAAACCTCTTGCAAAAGCATCAGGATAAAAATGAGTGATGTTCAGTTCTTGAACGACTGAACGGTTGAACCTGATTCAGATGAAGTAACCGGTCGAGCTGATTCATTAATCGAACTGAATCGAACTTTAGTTCCGGGTTGATGACGCTAGACGCACAAGTCCGAAAGAACCGGTTAGCGTAAAATGAATCAGACTTGACATCACTAATTCAGATCATCGGCTTTAGAGAGCTCCATGAAATCAAATTAGTGAGTTCCAAAATCTTTCAAAATTACCCAGTTATATAAAAGCAACAGTAAAACGTGTTTAATATAAAGTCAAATATACAACTCTGACCTTGAGCGAGTTTATATCCCTTGATAGTGTTCAAGTGGGGGGCGACGTTTATCATGAACCCTGTCTCGTGGTCCTTTGTTGTATTTATGCACTTTTATTTTGAAGTGTATTTTTTGTTCACTTTGTTGCAATGCTTCCCCTATCCTGTTTGCATTTGTCTCTGCCTTGAATGTTTCCATAGTGATTAATCAGTCTCAGGTGTTCCTCGTTACCCTCTTGTTATCTTGTGTATTTATACCCCTGTGTCTCAGTCTTGGTTTGCTGGTTGTTGTCTTTGGGTGGTTGTGAAACTGTCGTGTTCCATGCGTTCCACGCGTTCCACGTGTTCCATGTGTTCCATGTGTTCCGATGCGTTCCGCTGCGTTCCGCTGCGTTCATGCGTTCCATGTGTTCCATAAAGTTCAATATATAAAAAAAATCCACATGATTTACACATTCCGAGTTGAAGTCTTTTTCTTTACAGTTGAAATCTTTTATAATGCAATTTGAAAATGTATAGAGCACCACATAAAATCAACAGATTTTAAGAATTCCATGTGTTCCATGTGCTCTGATTTACGTGCATAAATACAACAAAGGACCACAGACTGGGATTGTGACTTTTTTTTCAAATGAAAAGGTGGGATTTGCAGGAAGGCACACACATAGTGGCTTGTGGGGAAGGTGATGCAAGTGCTTACCCTTTGAAGATGCTTTTTTTTAAATAGATATATATAAATAAAAATAAATTAGTAAAGGATCATGAATTATTATTATATATTAAATGATTATATAATCGTATAAAACAAATGGAATACTTAAAATGTAATCAATTAAATATAACATAGCCCATATGGGATCCTCAAATAAACAATAATGGGCAGTTCAACTGGGGCCCACATTGACATGTGGGCTGGGAAATTCCACGGTACACATTTAAGAATAAAATATCATGTTTTATTTAGGATAACCCATTCAGGCAGAGGATCGCTGAGGTCTTCTCGGAGGATGGAGAAGGAAACATGACTTTGGACGACTTTCTGGACATGTTTTCAGTGCTCAGTGAAATGGCCCCGCGGGACCTGAAGGCGTATTACGCTTTTAAGATCTACGGTCAGTCTTAAGGTGCGGTCACGAAATTTCGTGGGCAAAAAAGGGTCTATAATCTAATTGTCCAGCGTAGCACTAAAGTCACTTTCAGATGAACCAAGCAGTTTCGTGATGGACAGCGAGGCAAATTCACAGAAATTTTTCGCCCTCACACGAATCTCCTATCGAAACTACTGGATTTCGCCCGCAAAATAGAATTAATTGAATAATAATCATTTGATGTTATGGCTGATGTTCTGTTTGGGGAAAAAAAGTGTTTAGTAAGCCTATTATTTATATGCTATTATATTTGTTTTCATGTTTTTATTTCATATTTTCAGTTTTTTTTTTTTTTTGTCATTTTGTTATGTGCTTTTTGACTCTTTTTGTAAACATTACTATTTAGGTTTAATTTATTTTAATTTCATTTATATTAAGTTTTTTTTTTTTTTTTTTTTTTTGTTGTTGTAGTTTTTATTCCAGTTAGTGGTTTTCATGCTTCAACTTTAACAAACAAAAATGAGTAACGTTATAGACAACCTATAGGAAGCCGGGGAAGATCTCGTTTAAAAAAGTAATCCTTTAAAAGCTATTCACACATTGGCAGTAAAAAGTGATTAATACATGACAATTCTTATAAAGAACATTTAATCTAACATGTTTTATTTTATTTGTGATTTTTCAATGAACAAAAACGTTTTTAATAATAATCATGGACATGGTGGGGATATGCCTATGAAATCATTCGATATACTATGACCTGATCTCAATCATCTGTTCCTATTCATGTAGAGATGAACCCGCAGAACCTTAACTGACACATGAATATCAATAATTCAGACGTTCATTGAAGTGGGAACTGCCTATGGAAAGCTCTGTTCATATCTGTGTTCATGCGCTGTCTAATTAAAAGATCTCAGAGAACATGATCTGCTGCTGTCACCAGAAAAGACTCTGTTCTCATGCAACATTAACACGGGGTAAATGATAACGCTCTCAAACAATAGAGATCAATGATGGGAACAAGAGAGTATGTTGAAATTATTCAGACTGAACACACAGAAGGATTAATTGTTGAGAATTTTCAAAGCATAACGTTTACAAATGGGTTTACTGTGGCATACTATGGGTGGCTTGCATAAATAAATGAGATCACTGTAAAAAAAAAAAAAAAAAAAAAATCTGTAAAATTAAAAAAACTGGCAGTTGTGGTTGCCAGATATTTACCGTAAAAAATATGGTAGCAACATTTTAGGCTTTACAGACTAAATTTAAATTTACAGTAAAAAAAAACATATTTCATTATCTTATATAATGTTAATTTACTGATCTATTGAAGTATTAATATCTGTCAGTGTTTTATACCTGACAACCACCAATCACAGAGGAGATGAAAGTCACATGATAAATTAAAGCTCATCGCAAAAGGAATTTCCACAAGAGAGTTATTATTAATATACAGAAGCTGCACAGTTTCATTCGCACGAACACTAAACACCATCATGGTAACACACATTTTAAAAATGCAATAAACATTAATTTAACAACATTAAATGTAACATAAAACCCTAATGTACATAACTGATTAGAAAAAAACTATGAAGAAACAGTTATTTCAATAAAAATACATTAAATGTGCAGTGTCACGCAGAGATTTGTGGGAATGTCAATTTACGGTTTCTCACTTTTAACGGTATTTTACTGTAAAATTACATTAAATGTACAGTAAGATATATCACAGTTATTCACAGTATATAGTACGGAAACTTTCTGTTAGCTTATTAACAGTTTTTCACCGTAGCATTTTTACAGTTAAATTTTTTTTACAGTGTAAATATGAAATAAATAAAACAATATATTCTAAGTGTTCTATTCTAAGTTATTCTAAAAATAAATCACATTAAGACAAATAAATACACATTTAAAAATGGGTTAATTTATGTATAAAAAGTTAACGGTAACAATCTTGATTTCTTTTGATTTTTGCATTGTTAAATGTCTTGTGTCTGTGAAAGGTGCTAACTATTATCATTATTAAAAACAACTTCTAAAAGTATTTCTTTAAGCCACAATTTTCTTTTCCTGCATAAAAATTAAGCAATTGACTAACGCTTTTAAAAAGCAATTTTAAAGTTGCATTAAAAGGTTTTATTAATTTATTTTATTTGTAGCTTAAACTACATGTTAAACACAAATTAAGTGATTTTCATGTTAAATAATGTTCATTTGCCCATTTTAATAGTGATTTATTTACTTGCAGAACTCGCCCTCGTCTCGTTTTTCCCTCTAGATTTCAACAACGATGACTTCATCTGTAAATCCGACCTGGAGAAAACCTTAAACAGACTGACCCGCAACGAGCTGACCGAGGACGAGGTGAGGATGGTGTGTGAGAAGGTGATCGACGAAGCTGATCTGGACAATGATGGTCGATTATCTCTGGAGGATTTCCAGCACATGATCGTGAGAGCGCCTGATTTCCTCAGGTAACAGTTGCACACACTTTTCTGTTCAGTTTATTTAGATATTTCATTTAATGGTTTTCAAATTAAATCTTTTCTATTTTAAAGGAATATATTGGTATAAACAGCATCTGTGGTTTGAATATGTTGACTTGTCCCCAGTGACAGTCTATGGGTCATAACATTCATTATAATATTCATAATAAATAAACATGACATGTGTTAGCCATAGACTGTAAAAAATAGGTGTTAGCATGAAACTCCTGTGATACTATTACGGTACTTAAAGTCCCCCTGCAAAAAAAAAAAATGTCGTCATGTCTTAAAATATCTTGAATGTAACTCGACACCCTTGCCTCATTTAGTATACGCGGTTCTATGAATATGCAAATGAGCCCCGCCTCCACTCACTCACTCAGCTCAGAGACCCACTGGTTGACGATCACGCCGGTTTCACACTGCACGCGTTAAGCCTAGTTCACACTACATGATTTTAAAACGCCGGGCTGAAATGTGCGGTTCACATTACATGACTTGCTCTCTGTGAAATCAGGAGTGTTCAAGTTGTTGAGCTGTTCACACCACACGACACAACGTGATTGATCCGCAACAGGGGGTAACGCACTACACGAGTTGACAACAACTCCGTCACCCAACGATTCAATCTTGTCTACAAACCACGTTTTGTCACAAAAAATCACGCGATAAAACGAACCGGAAATGACGCCAAACATCACGCGCGCTAATACCCAGCGAAGAAGACGAAGACCCATGCCTTGCTCTGATTGGAGCAACCCATGCCTTGCTCTGATTGGCTGTAGCTCATGACATCACTGAGGTTGAGTTGTGCGACAGCTCTGGATATCTAGCATGCTAGATATTTTTCTGGGCTCGGCGACGCGTCTGCGAGGCGTCAGCGAGCGTCTTTGATGCGTTGTTGGCTCTTTCATACTAACAGATTGGCGAGCGTCCATCGTCCGCTAATCCCCCGCGATTTGCACGCGATAACACCCTGACCTGTCGGCGAGCTCAACGATTTGCAAATCGGGCTTATAATCCTGTAGTGGGAACTAGGCTTTAGCAGAGCGTAAGCAGCGCGTATTTTTTTCCGCGCCCATGTTAACAGATTAGAGCATTCACACCGCACGCAGAGGCGGTGCGGCAGCGCGTAGCAGGAGCAGAGCAGGAGCAGCAGTGCCGCAATCGTTTCGGCGTCCTGTCTATTTTTGCCGCGCGGCTTACGCTGAATTAAAGTGACAATGCATTTATCATGGCCAAAATACACAGCAGTTTTACCCAAAAGCACATTGATGATATCTATTGTGTTTTAAACAGTCAATCAAATGACCTTCATCAATTTAAAAAGAAAACAAAGTCAACAAAAACAAAGATGAACCAAAAGTTATATAATATAGCCTATTAATTAATAAAATAAGCTTCTTGACAAGACTTTTCTCTTAAATGTATTTGAAAACGAAATAAAGCAATGCCAACTTACCCATTATAGAGTACTTTGTCTGTAAACACGCGCGTCAAACGCTGCCAGTATGAAAGCAAAACGCGCGTGTCCTGCTTCCGCTCACCGTACGCACTGCTCCTGCGCTGCTTACGCTCTGCTAACGCGTGCAGTGTGAAACCGGCGTTACACGTTGATCTGATTGGTTACAAGGTCGTTTGTGACGTCAGAAACACCAGCGATTTCAAACCGTGTTTTTGAGACTGTCTTTGGTTCACTGTAGTTTTAAGTAGAAAATACTCACCAATGCTGTCGACTTATGAATTTACACATGGTTTGTCTTAAAGCATATTAAAAACACCACATAGACATATAAACAACATTAACCAACTATGTCTTTAATCTCATGTAATGACCAGATAAACTCTGGTAACTTTCACATGACCTACACTTTTTCATTAAAGGGCAATATTTGTCCCCTCGATTTTATTTTTATTTAAAAAAAAACTTTTATTATGACATATACAGTTGTGACCAAAAGTGATGTCCTCCATCTTCACCCTTTATTCAAATATTATTTTAAAAATGTGAAATATTTGCTTAGTTGTGCTTGGATTGTTTTATTTGTGATGCAATGAAACATAAATTATGCCAAACTAATTTTTGTCCAGGCTGTTATGCAAAGACATTATAAACACATCCAGTTTTGCTCCTTGCAAGCTGCTGTTAACAGATTGTATACACATGCTTTTGATGAGAGCTCACTGTTAATACGATCTTAATCTTCTGGCTTCCAGCACCTTTCACATCAGGATATGAAGATCATCTGGACACTGACCAAGGACATTTACTTTCATAAGACGATGTAAGAACTTTCTCTGCAGATTCAGAAGTCAGGAACAGATGGTGTCGCGGACGGTAAAGTTTAAAATAAAGTAGACACCTGTACTAATATAAGAAGAATATTAATGTTCAAAATATACACTTTAATCAAATATTAAACATTCTTATCTTGAACATTAAAGTGGTGGTTCAGAATTTTGGACATCGGGCTCATTTCCAAGTTAGCCTGTGTGTTATTTATTAGTGGAGACAGTTTTCAAAAATTGTCATCCAGTCGTTCCAGTTGCATAGTTCGCCGGTGCTAGGCTAGCGCGAGTCAACGGTCGGTAATAGCCTGCCATTAAAAACAGTTTTACCCACTCCACAGTACACCAAAAGCAAATAAATTATAACGCCAGACTATCGATGTAAATGTCTGTTGAGAGAATAATGTTAGAAATCAAAGTACCCTTTCATTGCATTGCAATAGTTATACTTTGTTCCCTGTATTTATTAGCGCAGTCTACAGCAGCGGCGGAGAGACCCTAGGCCAGTGTTTCCCAACCCTGTTCCTGGCGGCACACCAACACTGCACGTCTTCTTTGTCTCCCTAATCAAACACACCCGATTCAACTCATCAGCTCATAATCACATGGGTTAATGAGCTGACGAGTTGAATCAGGTGTGTTTGATTAGGGAGACAAAGAAGACGTGCAGTGTTGGTGTGCCGCCAGGAACAGGGTTGGGAAACACTGCCCTAGGCAACCGAGAGAGCCGGTCCACATGTCAATCCCGGCCGACTGTAGTGCGCTTCGGTTCTGTGTTTACTGTTCGGCGCAGGACTACTAACCGGAGCAAAGTAAAATCCCGCCGCTGCTAAGAATCTAGTTCCTGTAAATGTATTGCGATCATTGAGATGCAAGAGTAGTTTGATTTCTAACATTATTCTCTCAACAGACATACATCGATAGTCTGGCGTTATATATTATTTGCTTTTGGTGTACTGTGGAGTGGGTAAAACTGTTTTTAATGGCAGGCTAGCAGTTAGCGTTGACTCGCGCTAGCCTAGCACCGGCGAACTATGCAACTGGATGAAAATTTTTGAAAACTGTCTGTCTCCACTGATAAATAACAGGCTAACTTGGAAATGAGGCCCGATGTCCAAAATACTGAGCCACCCCTTTAAGACTAGCCAATAATGTGCCTGAAAAGCTTATTATGCAGCTACTGATACTACAGCAAATCAACACGTGAAAATTAATTATTCGTCGTCAGTATTAAACACACACACAGACACATCTCTTAAAAGAATCTTGTTTTAATAAATCAAAAGTACAGATATCTACAAAAACTGTAGATCAGTTTTTCAATGTTTTAGAAAGTACAGTACAATTTAAGTAGATCTCTTTTTAGAGTTATTTACAATTGTTTCTTTTCTCTTTTTTTTTTTCTTACCAAAATGTAATTGACCAATCTACCCAGTTACCTCACAATCGACAAATGAAAACATGGTCATATAAAAGAATCCGTAAATGATATGGATGACATTTCGTTTCAAATCAAGAAGTACATGAGACAAACTAGACAGCAAAAACAGAGATTGACAGACATACGCATCTCAATAAACACTACACGACTGCAAAGCGTTTAAGACAGAAAGCGGTACCTGTTTGCTAATGTTCTTTTCCGCTTGGTTTGTCTGCATATCAAATAAAAATGTTTCGCCAGCTGTCTGTTATAGTTATTTGTGCATTTTATTTGATCACTTTAAAACACCCTAAGGCCAGATTAGATCACGTCTAAGGTCCATTATTACAACCAAACATGTTTTAACCAGTAGACTGTCCTCTAAAGCTCAGAACAGACAACTAGACATCATGTGGCGGTCAGACGCTTCAATTGTGCAGAACATCTATAGAAAAAAAATATACATACACAGACAAAACATAAAGGAGGTCAACAGTATCAACTTCATGATGCATAGATCCAAAATGAAAGATCAAGTATTAGTTATTAAGACAAACGGCAAGTATTATTGGACAGGGAGAGAACAGAGAAGAGAGATGCTATGGGTACAGACCATCTGTTACACCTCTCCTAACGTGAAAGAATATGACAAATATGAGCCAAAAATATCATCGCCTCGAGGTGGAAAGAGAACAAGGTGCAAACAGAAAGTCATTTCAAGTTGAAGCTTGGAAAAGGAAAAGTGCCTTATTGCAGCAAGAAGAGAATTACATACACCTCTGCCTCGCAGGAAAAACAGTGCTTTCCTAATCTCTTTAAAACACGTTCAGGTCATATTACACCCCAAATCCAATGGAAAAATAGATATATTGCATAAAGAACAATTTCAATTAACTTCACAAATTCTCATTACTGTAATGCATCCATATTTTACTCTATAACAAAGAAGGTACCTACCATGATATGCAAGTAGTTAATATTAATATATTACGAGAATTTAATTAAAAAGAAATTGCAGTACAGTAATCAGAATAAAATTTATTTGCATTGCATTAATGAAAAAATAAACTGGTTTTGGGATGAAATTTGACTTGAACACGTTCTTGTCAGGTTTTGGGAGATCGACTCTTGGATTCTCATCGATAAAGAGTTTGTTCTTTCACTCGAAGCTAACAGGGGTTAAAGATTCCTGACCTATTGCTGGTGGTGTATACATGGTTCATTTGACTACAAAACGTACATTTGAGTATACTGCGGTACAAATAGGACAACTGCACAATTTGTCAAAATGAAACGGGTCTCTTGTGATAGACGCAACACTGAGAAAACTCGTATCAAACCAAGTGTAACTACTGCAGTTTGTCTTTGAAGGGCTGTACAACTCGAGCATTGCATTTCTTGCATTAATTATAAGCATGTCAACACAATATTCAGAAATCAGGAATGGTGGATTATTGTATTCTAGGTAGTTAAGCCTATTCACGTGAACCAAATCTGTTTTGTTTTTGCACTGTGCCACCCAAACTAATATGCTGTGGGACTGTAATTCATGTCTAGTCCATCCATAATACATCAGACAAATTAATACATTAACAGAATTTATTCAAAGCTGAACAAACGGCATCAATAGAAGCCAATGCATTTATGCATTCGGCTCGCTATCAGGAAAAGACTGGTGTCCTTACATAGATGGTGCTTTGAAAACGTTTGGGGGAAATGAAAACGCCTAACATGAATTCGGCAGGTTATGCTCCATGTCACCATGTAAAAACACCAGTCTTTATGATGCAAAATTATCACTATGTGGCACAAACTACACACAACACAAAAGATACTGATAAAGTGCATGGACGTCTGTACGGGAGGTATAGCTCTGCTTTTCTGGTCACACACTCACCCTTTCTCATTGCTTTTGGTTACACATAATTAATTAATACTACAAACTTAGGAATTTCTCATCCTTACAAGGGCTACGAGTCAGTTTCATTCGATTACACTCTAGTAGATTCAATTCAAGTGTTTTTAGTCAAGGAACGCTTTCACGGTGGGACGTTATCAGGTCGTAATAAAGCAGGACCTGAGGTTTTGGATTTATGCAAAGGAATATTAAAAAGAAAGCTAGCGCTACTGCATAAAAGGCTGAACTATTTGGAAATAGCTTTGTGTGCATGTTAAAAAAAAGGGAGGTTGGATTTAACGAGGCAGTAAACACGTCTTGATGAATAAAAAGCAGGATCTTCATTTGTTTAATATGATAATATCATTAGCCATGTCTGTGAAACCTTGACTGCACCATTTGTGTGAACGCTTGTCAAAGGTTAGATATCAGCCTGAAAAATAAAACTTAGGTCAAGAAGAAAATGAAACAGAAAAAAAAAAAAGCATCTAAGAGGAAGGTTATAATATTCCTCTACTAACAATAAGGTCATGTGATTGTCGAAGAATGCGCCGAAAATAAAATGGAATGATTAAGATCGTCCCACGAAACACTCACATTGGCTCAATGTTAGATCACGCTCTACGGCCAGACCCAGAACCTCAACTACTTACAGGTCGCCATGAAGGAATGGATCAATTTTGGCAGTTGTGCGCTCAAAACGAGCGATTGAAACAAAGATGGAGGGAGATACAGGATCTTCTTTAGGTGCACGTTTACGGCGATGCATTAGCAACCAGCTCTTCACCTTGACTTGTAGAAACCAATGCTTTCCCACCAGGGTTTCGCCAGGGAAGGGTCATAAGAGGCATCGCTAATCTGTCAATGGAAGAAGATAAGAGGAGCCAGGAACTCAACTGGAAGAAGAGCGTGACAGAGAATGAGAGATGGGATAAAGAGGAAGGAGGAGGAGTGCTAAGAGGAGGAATAGTCCAGTCATGTCCAGCCCGATGGTGGCGGACAGTAAGGCCTTGGTCTTCACAGTAGCACACAGCGAAAGAAGCTGCTCTTTTTCTGCTGTTCAGGGGTGATCTTCACGCCGTGGTTGCTGCCCTGAGGATTGTTGCCCTCCTGTGTGAGCAAAGAAAAAACAAACCTCCTTTTAGACTCAAGATTCTCATTTTATTACTACAACTCAAGCTAGGAACTTGTTGCAAAACTTCATCCAAAAACGTCATTATTTACTCTTTATTATGTACCTATTATTTACCAATTATTATGTATAGGGATGCACGATATTGGATTTTGGCCGATATGCCGATATTTTCAAACTAATTTTGCCCGATGCCGATATATTTGTTTTAAGTGCAAAAAAAGCTTATTAAAGCTTCTATTAAAGTTCTCAGTCAAGAGCAGTGAGTGATTTCCTCTTTGTTTTGTTGATTTATTAACATTAAAGGGATAGTTCTCTCAAAAATGTTAATTGTCATAATTTACTCTCTCAAGTTGTTTTAAACCCGAATTAATTTCTTTCTTCTGTTGAAAATAAAAGTTATTTGGAAGAATGTGGCTAACCAAACAGTTGCTGTACTCCAGTGACTTCCATAGTATATTTAAGCACAAGAAAGAAATGAATACAGGTTTGGAACAACATTAGAGAGTAAATAATGACAGAATTTTTATTTCTGGGTGCAGGATCTCTTTAAGGACAAGCGGCAGCATATTATTACTGTCTCTTTAAGAACGGCACTCGACGCGTCTAATATACACACAGAAAGTTTGCTTTCACTTTAGATATAACCAACTTTGTTTATGTAAACCTTGTGTGTATTTGACAGTATCAGCGCAATAAGACTCGAAAGATTAGTCCAGTATGCAGGCGCTGTGACAGGCTTTTAGTTCCTGTGAGCGTCGGGTGTACGCGTTCATAAAAGCGCATGTTAGAACAGCCCATCAGCACGTGAATGACATGTTTACCTAGCAAGACTTTGACGCACATGCAAATAATGAACTTTTGTGAATTGCAGTGTCCCGTGAGTGTAACTCTACCTCTGCGTTTACATGTGATGTGATGTGAATGTACGTCGCGTTGTACAGTATTTTTCTTCAAAAGCAGATCGTGGAGACCTTTTAATCGTCCACGATCAAAAACCGTGAGACGCACACCCCTAGTTGGAAGTTTAAGTTGCTGGCGCTCATGCTTCGTTTGCGGTCGTCACGTGCGCATAGGAAACACGCCACCCTATCGGCAAGACTCATCGGCAGAAATATTCATATCTGCCAATGCTGGTTATTTTAAGCTTTTATCGGCCGATACCGATGTTGTCCTGATATCATCGTGCATCCCTTATTATGTACCTACACTGGTGGTCAAAAGTTCAGAATAATTACGTTTTTTGATAGGTTTTGGCATCAAGTTGGCATTTTTTCTTATTTATTCCAAACTTTTGACCGCCAGCTTTGCTTCAGCTATGACAAAGAGACATCCACTCTAACATTTTGTGGGTGGAGCAATGAAGGGAGGGTGTGTTTGTTTGGGTTGATATCAAAAATCAACAGTGTTTCTCAGAAATCACTTACTGCACCTTTAATAAATGCTGTAGAACAAATGTTCATGTTAACTAATGAAACCTTGTAAAGTGTTACTCAATTATGAATCTAAGTTCATTTTTACACATAAACCTAAAGCACAGAAAGGGAAAATCTTACCAATTTCGTGTCCATCTTTGATTTTATGTCTCTGGCGAGCGTTAAGAATGCCTGCGAGTAGAGCAGGAAACATCATTAGACCTTTAAACACTCAGATATGATAAGGAAATGAAATGAGGATTCATCATAAAAGCCATTTACACTTACGTTCTCAACGTTGATATTAGCCTTTGCACTCGTCTCCATGAACTTGATGCCGTACTCTAACGCCAGCTAAACAGGTACAGGCAGATTTGATTCAAAATACAAGTATGATTTATCTGGATGATGCAGGAGGATTATTAACTAAATGATTGTGGAAGGTGCTTCCGTCGTTGCTGTAGCATCTTATACAATTAAATGAAATAATATAATATGCGCAAACAGTTTTTTAACGGCACAAGAGAACAAGAAGCATGGTCTGCTCACCTTCTCGCCTCTGTCTTTAGACACCTGCCTCTTCTCATTAATGTCACATTTGTTCCCCAAAATCATTTTTTCTACATCTGCTGATGCATGCTGGGTTGAACACATACAAGAACTGTAATCATTTGCTGTTAAATATTAAAACAGTACTTTTATGGATGTGCAATGCTACATATTTGCAAAACTGAATGACTAGTAATTAGGCATCAGGTAATTTAGGGTAATGTCCACCAGACAAAAAATAATAAGCATAACACATGCTTTTGTATTCAAAAACTGTCATATTAAAAGCACAATGCTTCAGGTGCAATGACTAAAGATGCCCACTTGAATATTAACAATGAAATAGATGAAATATTGGCAGACACTTTGGATCCAAAGCAAATTGCAATGCATTTAAACTATGCATTTTATCAGTTCATGCATTCTCATGGGATATTGAACCCATGGCTTTACTGTTTGAGCTATTTATGCTAATATAAAAACCTGCGGATTATGCATACTATGGAAACATTGCACACAACCGGAAGTATATTATTGAAGGCAGATAAATCAGGCATTGAGACACTCACCTCCTCTATGTTTCGGATCCAGTTTTTGATGTTGTCAAATGATTTCTCATTGGTTATATCATAAACCAGCATGATACCCTGAGATCAGAGCACAAGACATATTACAACTGTGCAAAACACTGCAATTATAAAGATGACAGCAAATGAGCATTAGTATTATTATAGCATTAACAGGCAAGACGGACAGATGAAATTACTGATCATACATGAGAATCATCTTACCATTGCTCCTCTGTAATATGCCGTTGTGATCGTTCGGAATCGTTCCTGTCCTGCCGTGTCCCTGTAAACATCAAACAATATAAGTGGCCCTGCAGAAATGTGGTTTGCATGTCTGGTAAAGTGGAAGATGGCCTCCTTCTTACCAGGGCAATGACAAAAGACAACCACTAACATGTGCCTCAATGTAAAGGAGAAATGAATCATGGTTTCACAAGTCAAACAACAGCTCCTTCATAAAACTCTCTTACGTACTTTCAAATACGAAGTGACTCGTGGCAGCAAACTGCTAATTTTTTAACATTTGAAGTGGATCAAAACCATTTATCAAAGTTATACATGAATTTTGAACAATACCCGTTCTTGTCTTGGGACAACTTTGATAAACTTTTTTGATCCATTTCCTACTGTAGTGTTGACTAGAAGGAAAGACGACTAGAAACTCACCATATCTGTAACTTTATCTTCTTGCCATCTAGTTCTATTGTCCTGATCTTGAAATCGATACCTGGAAGAGAAAATACACAGCACAACTGTCATCATCATAGGCTGAAAAACAAACCCAATACACAATACTCTTTCAAAAATGTCCAACAACAGACTACTTTTAGGTGTTAAAAGCAATGCACATAACAGATGTCCATAGGATGTGATATATGATGAACATATGATGAATGACAAAGCCAAGCATCAAACCACACTTCATATCACCAGTTCATATTGCAAAGTAATAAAAACGTAAGTATGACCGGTAAACATATAAAGAACTGTACTAAAAATATAATGTAATGGGAACTAAATATTTTGCAAATAATATTTTATACGTTTTAAATATTTTTATAGTATAAATTGGGTCTTCTTTATACATGCATGTCTTTAAAATTGTAGGATTGGTGTCCCTCTCGTGAGGATAATTATATTAGTTTGTGGAATCTAAAAGATTTAAACCCCCTGATCTGGACCATCGTAAAGTTGATTTAAAGGGTTAGTTCGACCAAAAATGAACTTTGTGTCATAATTTACTGATGTCGTTCCAAACCCGTAAGACCTTCGTTCATCTTCAGAACACAAATGAAGATCTTTTTGATGAAATCTGAGAGTTTTCTGTCCCTCCATTGACAGCTACTCAACTACCACTTTGACACTTTGAAAAGTTCATAAAGAGATCGTGAAACTAATCCAAATGAATTGAGCGGTTTAGTCTAAAACCGCTCTAGTCTATTTTATTTTAAACAGATTTTATTTAGGCTTTTATTCACATATAAACATTCATCAACTCACACATCAGTTGTGGTAAACGGAAGCTCAAGCATGTTCGCTTGACGTGTGAGAACCAATGAGGTTCATTCTCGTGTAACGCATCACGTTTGAGCTTCTGCAAGAACCAATGAGGTTCATTCTCGTGTTACGCATCACGTTTGAACTTCTGCAAGAACCAATGAGGTTCATTCTCGTGTTACGCATCACGTTTGAGTTTCTGTAAGAACCAATCACGTTTGAACTTCTGCAAGAACCAATGAGGTTCATTCTCGTGTTACGCATCACGTTTGAGCTTTTGCAAGAACCAATGAGGTTCATTCTCGTGTAACGCAGAACATTTGAGCTTCGGCAAGAACCAATGAGGTTCATTCTCGTGTTACGCAGAACATTTGAGCTTCGGCAAGAACCAATGAGGTTCATTCTCGTGTTACGCAGAACATTTGAGCTTCGGCAAGAACCAATGAGGTTCATTCTCGTGTTACGCAGAACATTTGAGCTTCGGCAAGAACCAATGAGGTTCATTCTCGTGTTACGCAGAACATTTGAGCTTCGGCAAGAACCAATGAGGTTCATTCTCGTGTTACGCAGAACATTTGAGCTTCGGCAAGAACCAATGAGGTTCATTCTCGTGTAACGCATCATGTTTGAGCTTTTGCAAAAACCAATGAGGTTCATTCTCGTGTTACGCATCACGCTTGAGCTTCAGCAAGAACCAATGAGGTTCATTCTCGTGTTACGCATCACGTTTGAGCTTCTGCAAGAACCAATGAGGTTCATTCTCGTGTTACGCATCACGCTTGAGCTTCTGCAGGAACCAATGAGGTTAATTCTCGTGTTACGCATCACGCTTGAGTTTCTGTAAGAACCAATGAGGTTCATTTTCATGTTACGCATCACGTTTGAGCTTCTGCAAGAACCAATGAGGTTTGTTCTCGTATTACGCATCACGTTTGAGCTTCAGCAAGAACCAATGAGGTTTGTTCTCGTATTACGCATCACGTTTGAGCTTCTGCAAGAACCAATGAGGTTCATTCTCGTATTACGCATCACGTTTGAGCTTCTGCAAGAACCAATGAGGTTCATTCTCGTGTTACGCATCACGTTTGAGCTTCTGCAAGAACCAATGAGGTTTGTTCTCATGCGTCAAGCAGGTTTGGTTGAGCTTCTGTATATGTTCGCTGATAAAAGCTTAAATTAAATCTGTTCACAGGGAACTACACTGCGACCAAAATGGTTGCATATGCGACCTTTTGAAATGCCATTGCGACCCTAATTTTTAATGGGTCGCAAATGTATCACCGTACACCGTTTGATTATTTTTGTACCTATATGTTTTAGGCAATATGCTATGATTTACTATGAGCATTTATTAAAACAGAAATGTGTATTTTAAGAATACGTTTTATAACGTTCTCTGAGCATTCAACACATCAAGTTGGCTTTGCGCTTGTTTAAAGTCCCTGTAAAGTCAAAATTTTGTATGTGTTCTGAGTTTGTCACACCACAGAAAAATGTGTTATTAGCCACCCTGCCAAATTTGAATGATAAAAAAAGCCAGCAAGTACATAAAATAAGCTATCAAAATCTTGAAAAAATGAGCAGTAGTCTCTGCTCTCAAACGCTGGGGGCGTGTCCGCTGGCTGTGCTGAAACCACGCCCACTCGCGGGAAAGCTGCATTCGCCACACTCAACTCTACAGCCGGAATAGATGCTCGCACGGTGGGCACGCACTGCCGATGATGGCACCAGTTGTCGGCGCGACGGGAGGATGAATGCCGAGGCGGAAGATAGTCGGTTCGGCCCCATTCACCAGTAACAACGGATTATCAGTGAATGCCTTAGTTGTCTCCGACGAAAGTTTATAAAACTATCCCGTGTAAAATGATCACTTACAGAGGCGGGTTTTGGCAGTGATCCTCAGCTCTCCATCAAGGTTGGCTCTTCACAAAATTAATCCACTTCTTCTTGATGTAATCGTTTTTCGGAAATTTAAATAAGGACACCGATCTGTTTTGTATGTGATCCGGTGATCGCATCCAGGTAGTAGGCCTACGCATTTCCGTGATGAAGGCATAGCTAGCTAGCAATCTGTAGGCTGCTGTAGTAACTAATAGTGCTGACCGTAACTCACGATTGAGCGGCAAAACTGATGTGAATGTGCTCTATTATATTGTTAGGGGAGCGGACAGCCTCAGTGGCTCCAGTGCGTCATCAAGTAGGGGCGCGTCCAGGAGCTCAAGGGGCTCCAGTGCGTCATCAAGTAGGGGCGCGTCCAGGAGCTCAAGGGGCTCCAGTGCGTCATCAAGTAGGGGCGCGTCCAGGAGCTCAAGGGGCTCCAGTGCGTCATCAAGTAGGGGCGCGTCCAGGAGCTCAAGGGGCTCCAGTGCGTCATCAAGTAGGGGCGCGTCCAGGAGCTCAAGGGGCTCCAGTGCGTCATCAAGTAGGGGCGCGTCCAGGAGCTCAAGGGGCTCCAGTGCGTCATCAAGTAGGGGCGCGTCCAGGAGCTCAAGGGGCTCCAGTGCGTCATCGAGCCCCGTTTTAGCCCCGCCCAAAAAATCCGGAAAATATCAATGGTGAAAAACTGTTTAACGGTCTAACTTCACAATTCAGTACTTCACAGTTCACAGTCTTTGTAATATGTTTTAGCAATACATTTCTAACATTTATAATGTGTTTAGAATTTTTTTTTTAAATTGCCTTTACAGGGACTTTAACTGAGAGAACGAGAGAGAGTGAAAGCCGCGCGCGCGCACTCTCTCGCCGTCTTCACACTGTCTTGCTCTCTCTCCCGCCCTCGCTCATATTAATGAATTGAGTTGACTGAATATCTTTGAGAATACACGATGGTATTTTTTTCCTGAACTACCACTGGTTGTGAATTGTGCTAAAATAACGTTGCCTCATCTTCTCTGAAAAGCTTTCCACACAAATATGACATAAACCACACTTTCAATAAACAAAACAAAAAAATCTATCTAGTGATGAAATGTTTTCTGTGTTGAGAGTGAGACAAATCTTGTGCGATGTCCTAAACTGCCTGGATAATCACACAACGTGTGCCGTGGTCCGTTAATGACACGTCCGATTCGCGAACTAATATGACTCCTTTGAACCGATTCACTTTAATGAATGGTTAAAACAACTGATCTGTCCAACACTGAACTCAAGAGACATAAATCAGAAACACTTTACAATAAGGTTCCATTTATTAAAGTCTAGTTAACTACATTAAAACATTCTATTAATATTAGTTTCTATGTGGATTTACTCCATGACAAAACCACCCGTCATTCTAGAATGATTCATTCTTTCCAAATAGAGCTTTTTGTTTGAAATTGTTTTTATATCGCAATATATATCACAGAAAAATCAAATATCGCAATGTCATTTTTTACCAATATCGTGCAGCCCTACTGTAAATTCTGTGGGCCTTCAGGACTGTCCAAATTTGTAACTGCGTCAAAACAATTCAAACACAAATCATTGAAGCTTCACTATGACAGTATGAAGCACGCGAAGTGGATTATATTTATTTTATTTTTCCTTAAGAGTTCAGAAGTCTACCCATCTGTGCCTGCAATAGCATGTTGAAATCCAAAAGAAATTCATTTAGCACTTTATTGTGTAGGCCTACTGTATTTTCTATTGCAGTAAATCTATCCCAACCAATTTTAAAGAAAACAAGAAGGCATTTGGTTTAAAAGATGGCAAGTAAAATAAAAAGCACATCTGTATGCAATACAGTTTCATTATTGGTCATTATTATCCAGAGTAGCTTACTATAAATAATTTGTGCGACCAAATCATGTTTTGCGCTAGTAACTGAAAAAGTAAGTAGCGCAAGTGCCACCAGTGGAAAATGTTAGTGTAGTTCCCTGTGTTCATCATATACAGCAATTGTGTCTCTTCAGATAATTTGGACTAAACCACTCAATTCATGTGGATTAGTTTTACAATCTCTTTACGAAGCGTCAAAGTTGCGTCAAAGCTGTCAATGGAGGGACAGAACAGATTTTAATAAAAATATCTTCATTTGTGTTCCAAAGATGAATGAAAGTCGTACAGGTTTGGAACGACATGAGGGTGAGTAATTAGTAATTAATGACAGAATTTTTGGGATCCATTGATCTTAACACACCACAAAAAAAAAGAACAAAAAAAAAGTCCCATTTAACATTTACATCATTACACTCAAACAAGACTTTGTTTTTGTTTTGTTTTTCTCACATATTACAAATTACAACGTCACATTGTTGAACAAGTAGATGTCAATACCACTGTTTTGGCAATATCATTCATACATGCATTACCATGGTAAAAGTATATGGTATTCTATTCATTCATTCAGCATCATGCAGGCTAACTTTATCTATAGCAAAGTAGTATCACAGTCTGACATTAGCATCACTGTACCATGGTACTACCATAGTAACAGTAAAGTTTTCTGAAACACTATTTAACTGAGAGTAGTCCAGAATATTATATTATTATATAAATAAAATATTGAGTCGTATAGTGTGTGTGTTACAGGTGACAATTGGCTCACGGGTTTCGAACCACATATATTTTTTATATATTTAACGTTAATTGGATATTCAACAGTTTATATAATGCTTCTATCCATTTGATATTAAAAATGTCCAAAATAAGATTGAAAACAAAAGCAAACCTATTTAACTTAATGTCTGAGTCATTCTGTCAAAGCAGCTAGATGCTAACCAACAAAGCAGCAGAAAGGTTCATTAAACACACACTATATCACCACACAAAAATTATTAATTACAAAACACCAGCGAACCTGTCAAAGTTTAGAAACGAAACAAAACTCAGGAAGAGCTAACACAGTTACTAGTCCATTAGCTTAGCCGCTAGCACAGCCTGACGTTTCATAAACAATCCGATATAAATATAAGATATAAATACCTATTGTCGAAATAAACGTCGAGTTAAAGGCATCCTCCGAGAATCTGAACAGCACACAGGTCTTCCCGACACCGGAATCCCCGATTAACAGCAGTTTAAACAAATAATCGTAAGTCTTCGCCATACTGAATGTATTGCGGAAATCCCGCCCGGTACTTTAGCAGACAGCGCAGAATCCGCACAGCGGCGAGGAACTGACCAATCATACTACGGCGAAGGCTTCGAATTTAAATATTAATGAGGTCAAACTGACGTACTTCAAAGCCTCCCTTGAGCGTGCAGGCACGTATCCTCATTAATATTCATAAGTATGCCTTCGTCATAGTAGTATTCGTTCATTCGCCCTGTCCTAGCGGCCACGTCAAACGCCAAAGTACACAGTTAAAGGGATAGTTCACCCAAAAATGAAAATGATCCCATATTTTTACTTACCCTCAAGTCATCCTAGATGTATATTACTTTCTTCTTTCAGGCAAACACAATCAGAGTTATATTAAAGAATATCCTGGCTCCTCAAAGCTTTATAATAGAAGTGAATGGTACCTTAGATTTTGAAGCCCAAAAAAGTGCATACATCCATTATAAAAGTAATCCATACGGCTCCAGTGGGGTTAATAAAGGCCTTCTGAAGCGAAGCCATGCGTATTTGTAAGAAAAATATCCATAATTATAACTTTATAAACTATAATCACTGGTTTCTGGTAACGGCCGTATGCGAGTTGAGTTCTGGCGGAAGAGTGACCTCTGACCCGACTTGACGAACGCGGAAGCGCAGAGGATTGAGCAAAACACCGGTCATTAATTAGAAATCTAAAATGAGACATTTTAAAGAGAAATGTGGGAGGAGCTTCAGTTTGCTGTCCAGCTCTATTTGTTTGGACCACGAGAGGCGTCGACTCTCTCACCTAAGCTTACGCTATACTCCAACATCATCCGTCATGCGTCGGGTCAAAGGTCACTCTTCCTCCTGAACTAGACTCATGTTACCAGAAGCCAGTGATTATAGTTTAAAGGTATAAATATGGATAATTTTCTTACAAAATACGCATGGCTTTGCTTCAGAAGGCCTTTCATTAACCCCACTGGAGCCGTATGGTATGGATTACTTTTATGATGGATGGAAGCGCTTTTTTGGCCTTAAAAAACAAGGTACCATTCACTCCCATTATAATATATCCCAGGATATTCTTTAATATATCTCTGATTGTGTTTGGCTGAAAGTCATATAGGATTGCTTGAGGGTGAGTAAAGTATGGTATAATTTTCTTTTTTGGGTGAACTATCCCTTTAATATTTTGCCATAGTAGTATGATTTATAAAATGTGCTTCCTGAACTAATACAAGACCTCATACCTTCACAGCAATTACTTACATAAGTCTGTGCCTCAATGTCATTAGTGTGTGTGGCCGGTCAAATTCCTTTATAAGACTTGGCTTCAGGCCTGGGATTCATTTTCCTTTCAATTTCCCCCCATTATATTAATGAAGGCTAAAAATTAATTTACACATAATATAGGCTACATATTATATATATTTAAATATATTTTGCATTGCAATAAAGAGAATTTGAGGGTAAATGTCATGAAAACAATGTAAAAATGCCAAAAATCTTGATCCTATAATCTTATTGATTTTTCTTTGCAAAATATTGATTGAAATAATCCAATGCAATTCTCATACTGGAAAGTGATGTGCAAATAAGTAATAATAAACATTTATTTATTTTAACAGAGGTATAAAAAACATCAAACCACAGTGAAAATAAATCTTGCAGGCATCAAGGGTACAAAATGGTCCCACAACAAACTATTAAAGACTTCTTATTGCAAAAAAAACAGTCCAATTGTTCTAAAACATAATGCCTTTACAAATTTCTTCATGGTTTTTAGTACATTCGCATACATTTCCCTAACACGTGATTTAATAATTGGTTTATTTACCGACACTTGTTGCGTTTTTACTGTTTTAAGTATAACTTCCCTCTTTATGTTCATCAAAAGAAATAAATAAAACAGCACTGACCTTCCAGGTTAGAACAAATATGGAAAAATAGTTTTAAAAAGGGAAACCTTCTTACATGCAATTATTGGTCATTATCTTTAAAGGGATAGTTCACCCAAAAACGAAAACTCTGTCAGTAATTACTCTCCCTCATGTTGTTCAACCCCGTAAGACTTTCGTTCATCTTCGGAACACAAATTTAGATATTTTTGATTAAATCTGAGAGCTGGATCACTCCTCCATAGGCTTCTTAAGGGATCGAAACTTGGCGGCCCAGAAAAGTTAAAGACATCGTTAAAATAGTCCGAGTGACTGCCTATGGAGGAGTGATCCAGCTCTCAGATTTAATCAAAAATATCTTAATTTGTGTTCCAAAGATGAACGAAAGTCTTACGGGGTTGAACAACATGAGGGAGAGTAATTACTGACAGAGTTTTCATTTTTGGGTGAACTATCCCTCAAATCCAAAAAACGTACTGTTAACTGTTAAAGGAGTATTTTGGGTTTATATTTGTATTTAATCTGCGCCAATGGGACAAATGGCAGCAACAAGACATTATTTATTATTTTTTAATGGACCAAGGTAGGTGCATTATGAAATAATCAGAGAATTACAAAGCAAAATATAGAAAATAATGGATGGAAGTAACATAACTTACAACATAAAACCAGAAACACATAAAACATTGCTGGAATGGTTGACAACTGAAAAATGTGGATTCTTCATGGATTCCTTCAATGGTTTGCTCACAAGCTGTTGAGCTCTTGGAGCGTTTGATCCAGGACTTGATGCATCTCCAGGTTCTGCTGTTTTGCCTCAGCCAGACTCTCTGAAATAAACCAGCATTACAAGACATGAATTTACCGATTCCATATAAACATCACTGATTGCTAATATTTTTGTAAACAGATTTCATAACAACCCTGCTCCCTCAGGCTTTAAACCAGTAAACTACTGTATAAACCACAGCTGGGTTACGGAAGTAAAATCCCATTCATTTTGACTGGAAATAAATTTGTAACCGATAATTCATAAACCTTTTTAAATACAGTACTACAATGTGCTCTGAGATTTTTTAAGTGATAATATATGCTTCTGTAGGAGCCACAAGTGTCAAACTATTTTAAATCAAATTTGCTATCATGGAAATGGAAACCAAGTCTTCTTGTCAACCTTAATATGTTGCATATATTTCAATATTTTGCAGTAAAATATAAATATTTCGAAAGTCTCCTGAGTTCTTACTAAACATTAGATAGCAGTACTACAGTATGCAATATTATATCTCAGCAAAAAAAAAAGTCAGCATTTCTCCTCTTCCTAATCCAGCTGTCTCATAAACCTTGTATATATTACGGATATACATCGTGAATGTTGTTGTCTCTACGAATTGCTTTTGTTTCAGTTTTGTAAGTCATTTTGCATAAAAGTGTCAACTAAATGCATAACTGTAAATGTAAGCACTATATTCAGCATTATGCTATACAAAAGAGGATCATTCACATTTTTAACATGAAGTAATTATCAATTGTGTTGTATAAAAAAGTTGATAAGTGCTTCTAAAAGAGCTACAAAGATGACTAAAAGGAGAAAGATTAAGACTAGATTTAGAGAGGCAGGAAATACGTTATATTCGTAAAAGCAAGAAATTGAAAACAAGTGGGAGTGTTCAAAGAGCAGAAAATATTTATTACATTTTAGAGGAATAACCAAACTTTAAAAGACTGCAAATATGTAAGGCACCAGGGTGAGCAGAGAAAGACAAACAGAGGCACAGCCAATCAGAAAGCCACAGGGTAATTTATGCAGAGCAGCGATGCTTGATTGAACGAGAAGGCTGTCAATCACAGTTCTGATTTAATGTAATAATGATGCCTCTGTCTTTGATGCACGTTACATCCAACATGCCCTGCCGGCATATTACAGAATAACATCTAGGCACTCATCATATTCAGCTCAAGCACTGCTGACACATAAACAGTCTATAAGGTGGTCATATCAGTCAGGGCAAGATCCAGCTCTTCACTAATGGCCTTGTAATTCTGCTTCTGAGCATAGACTTCATCTGGAGGTCAAAGGTCAAGAGCAGAAAGGAGAGGCGTTTCGGCAGAGGATGGAGGAAGCAGGAAACGGGAACAGGAAAAGGAAAAAGGAAAGAAAAGGAGGAAAAGAAAGGAAACAGTCAGTTCAACAGGTCAGAGAGGACAAGACACAGCACATCAAGTATTTGAGCAAAATCTTGGGCTACGTCTGAAATCGCATACTCTTGAGTAGGTACTACATTCGCCAAGTTGTCGTTATCATGTGACCTACAGCGTCAGCTTCCCTGCCATTCATAAATCCTCTCCCGTGGCCTCATGGGATAGTAAAGTGTCCATCATATGCACACTTCAGAATCTTGCTTCTTCATTTATTACTATAGCGCTTTATACAGTGTATTGTTTCAAAGCAACTTCATCAAATATGAGAACAATTCAATTTTGTCATTATTCAATAATCAATAAAAATTTAAATTCAATAAAAAGTATCAGTTCAATAACAATGTCAATGTTGCAAAGTTCATTAATTCTAAAACAAATTCAATTTAGCTACCGTATACAGCAGCTCTACAGAAGATATTGTATATTTTACAGTAGTGTCATTATCCAGCTGTTTGATAACATAGTCAAGCCAAAGGCTAACCATATCAACTACCGTTATTTGTTCGACGTAGTAAGCGATATATAAAACGCATTATGATTCTGATACACCGACTTTTAGACGAGCCTGTATAACTCGCTCTTCCACTTCTTCCGAATCAGTTTCTGGTTCAAACATATATGGCTTAATTAAACCATTATTTCCACTTGCCTTGGTGCAGCGTTTACTACAGTAAAGTTGAGCGACTGGATCTCTGAGCTGGTGTGAGTGAGTGGAGGCGGGGCTAATTTGCATATTCATGTTTCCGCATATACTAAATGAAGCAAGAGTGTGGAGTTACATTCAAGCTATTTTAAGGTGTGAAGAAATTAAATTTAAACACATTTAAATGTATCTTTTTGGTAATAAACAATGAGTTTTAAGGGATACAATTATTGACTACATGGGGGACTTTAAAGGGGTGGTTCAGAATTTTGGACATCAGGCCTCATTTCCAAGTTAGCCTGTGTGTTATTTATCAGTGGAGACAGTTTTCAAAAAATGTCATCCAGTTGTTCCAGTTGCATAGTTCGCCGGTGCTAGGCTAGCGCGAGTCAACGCTAACTGCTAGCCTGCCATTAAAAACAGTTTTACCCACTCCACAGTACACCAAAAGCAAATCAATTATAACGCCAGACTATCGATGTAAATGTCTGTTGAGAGAATAATGTTAGAAATCAAACTACCCTTTCATCGCATTGCAATAGTTATACTTTATTAGCACAGTCTACAGCAGCGGCGGAGTGATATTAAGTTACCTAGGCAACCGAGAGAGCCGGTCCACACATAGACAGTATAAGAAGTGGACAGAGCGATCTCATTGGAACTCAGTTGAGACAGTTGAAGCCCATTTTTAGCGATTTTTGAGCACTTCCGTTCCTGACGCGCAGACTCAAACCGACTCAAACTAAGCTTGATGACGTGAGCAACCTGTCTGACAGACGTAAATCTTCTAGTAGCTGTGCGTGAAAATGGCCAACGTTAATCTTGCAGAGACGGGGAACTTGAGCAAAGAGTTCTTTGGCGTGAGTGAGCAGGAGTAAGTATTCCGTTGCTTTTATGGACTCATTATCTATGGGCTTCTCCTCCTGTCTGTACGGTAATTTCTGTACAGCGCGACAGAGAGTCGAGTGGTTATGACGCAATCGTTAGCCTATTTTTACTAAATCTGTTTCTACGGGGCCATAATGTAACATAGAAGGTAATGGAGCCCTTTATACATTGTCGTGTTTCTTTAGAAATAAATCATGGACAAATGGAGTCTTTAAACGCCTCAGATGTAAAGTTATTCGCTGTCAAAGTGACGCCAAAATGAATGGGAGTCAATGGAAATGCTAACGCAAGTGAAGTTCTGCTACAACATGGCGGCACCCGGCCGGCTTCAACTTCCGGTCGATGGATTACCCCCTTGGGTCCACATGACAATCCCGACTGTAGTGCGCTTCGGTTCTGTGTTTACTGTTCGGCGCAGGACTACTAACCGGAGCAAAGTAAAATCCCGCCGCTGCTGAGAAAATAGTTCCTGTAAATGTATTGCGATCATTGAGATGCAAGAGTAGTTTGATTTCTAACATTATTCTCTCAACAGACATTTACATCGATAGTCTGGCGTTATAGTTTATTTGCTTTTGGTGTACTGTGGAGTGGGTAAAACTGTTTTTAATGGCAGGCTAGCAGTTAGCGTTGACTCGCGCTAGCCTTGCACCGGCGAACTATGCAACTGGAATGACTGGATGAAATTTTTTTAAAACTGTCTCCACTGATAAATAACACACAGGCTAACTTGGAAATGAGGCCCGATGTCCAAAATCCTGAACCACCCCTTTAAAAATAACAGGTCAAACATGCTAGCACTATTACCGCTCTTCTTTCTTTCACAGACCAATAAAGCTTGACTAGCTGCTGCTACACAGTCAAAGAGGACAAAGGTTAAATTCCAGCTGACGGTATTACTGACGTCATTAGTGAGGGAGGAACAGTTCATCACCGCTGGAGAACCGAGAAGCGGGAACTTACCCTCAAGGTCATCGATGGCCTTTTCCAGTTTAGCCACTGACCTTTCAGCAAACTCTGCACGAGTCTCGACCTGAGGGGAAAACACACAGAGGGAAAGATTGAGTGAAACGTCAGAGAATGGCCATGAAATATACTCTATGCAAGTGTAACGGAGGCCAGCTAGTAGTTGCTGTGCGAGTAAACCTCACTCCTCTGATCTCAATAGGCGCTCTAGCGACAGATGCTAGAGGCTGCAGTCTTTAGCCTCCTTGTTAGAGCGCCTGACTCTCACGCCGGAGACCCGGGTTCGAGGCCCGCTCGGAGCGGGTCAAGTGGGACCCGGGTGGAGGGGTTACACATGTGTGTGTCCATTATACATTTCATTTATCTAATAATGACTCATCTGGTGTAATGCAAGGAAACTCAATCACCCCTAGTTCAGTATAATAAGATTGCACGCTTGCTATGGGTTGGCTTCTGCATTGTGTACTTGTGTAAAGCATGAAAGACTTGCATGCAAAACTATTAGAATAAACAGTTGTTTTAGGTTAAACTTTCCCACCTCTTTCAGTTTATCAGTGAGAACTTTGACCTCGTCTTCATACTTGTCCTCTTTCTCCGAATACTACAGAGAGAAAACAAACAAAAGCTTATTTGGACTATTGGTTCTCAACTTCGCTTTAAAACTCAGATTTCACAGTATAGCAACATAACACCAGAATTGTTTATTGTGCAAAAGTAAATTGAATTGACAAGAAATAAATATTACAAATATTGTTGGCTCCCTGATGAATTGCTTTGTTCTGCTCTAGTAAGTCGCTTTGGATTAAAAAAAAACGTCTGCTAAATACATAAATGTAAATAATGTAAATTAAATGAATTTATATTATCATGAAATGCATTGGCCCGACAATGTATAAAAAATACTATGACATAAACTGAATATGAAAATTCACAATTTTGTCAATAAATAAACAATTGCACAAGTGTGATTTACCAGCTTAACTTTCATTGAACAAACTCTAAGCTAAATAATGTTTTATTATTATCCATAATACATAGTGGCGGATGAATTTGTGCAGTTTGACTGGACGTCAACATAAAAAAATGTGAGATACATTTTATTTTCACTTTGAAAAGTTCATAAGCTTATTTATTTAACTGTCCTAATTATGGATGTTTAAATGCTTTGTTGTATTTAACTACAGCTTTTGATCAACTTTACACTTTACACAAGACTTTACACAGAAATCCGTTTTGCCCCGTGGAATTATGGGTAATAAGTCAGCTGACTTACCTTATCTGATTGAGCTTCTAAGGACTTGAGATTATTGGTTACATTTTTCAGTTCTTCCTCCAGATCTCCACCTTTACTGTAAAAAAAATAATATATATATATATATATATATAAAATGTTTGTATTCTTCACCTTTTCACAGCTTGAATGGGAGTTCCTGACCAAGTATTTTAATAACATCAAGAGTCGTTTTCTGCTTATCAATATCAATAATCACGTCAAAATCCATAAACTTTCAAATATTTAATACGTTTTTCAACCAGCTTGGATCAGCAAGTCACTATAAAAGCTTGTTTCTGCCACAGAATTAAAAAAAATTATGTCTCATTATTCTGTCTTTATTTCTCGCAATTCCAAGTGTATATCTTGAAATCCAGATTTTAAATCTAAACCGGGAATTTCAAGAACAAACCTCGAATTGTGAGAAACCACCTTAAAGTGAATATAAAATCAAATTGGACTACTTCATGTTCCTGGTCTAATACGGCACCATTCATCAGTGCATGTTTTTCCAAAGAAAACTATTTTTGTCTTTATAATCTTTAATAAAAATGTCAGCTTGCAACTAAAATGGGTTTTGATCTCTGTTGCATGTTGACTTTAAGCTGGTTTTTCTAGCAGAGCACAAACCTGTACTGAATCTGATACGAGTTTAGTTAAGCAACTTCTGATTGGTTAAAGAGGACCTATTACGCCCTTTTACAAAGTCTTGATTTTGTTTTCTGGCTCTAGAACAGAATGCTTGGATGTTCAAAAACACATTATTTTCCTCATATTCTCCATTGTTGCGGCTCCTCTCTTCCCAGTCTGTCAGTAACGCTCTGTTCAGTTCCTGTCTCTATGAAGCCCCTCCTTCTGAAAAGCACACTGTGCTCTGATTGGTCGGCTGGAGCAGTGTGTTGTGATTGGTCAACTGGAAATGCCCCGCCCCTTTTCATAACCACCAGTTTCAACACACTACTAACTAACTCAACCAGGCCCCGCCCCTTTTATTCTCCGTATGAATTATTTAAATGAGGAATATTGTGACGTGTTCGTTCCCGGAAGAAACTCGAGGCGTTTCAGGAGTTCAGAAACACTGACATTGATATAGAGAAGAACTCATTCATGTTAAAACAGCAACATTACACACTAAAGAAAGATGAACATGTAAAAAAGCACATTAGGTCCTCTTTAAAATCTGTTTACTGTGTTGAACTTTGTGGGTACTAACAGTTCTGCAATCTCTGCTCTCTCTTCTGCCCTTTCCAATTCACCCTCCAAAATCACCAGCTTACGAGCAACCTGCAAACACACACACACACAGACGCATTTACTCAGAGAGGATATTTACAGAACCACTCCTGATTCAAATGATAAAGTATCCGTAAACTGTATAATAAGTGTGTGTGCGGCGGACCTCCTCGTATTTGCGGTCGGCATCCTCTGCGATGTTTTTGGCTTCTTTGAGCTGTATTTCCTGAATTTCCATTTTCTCCTCATCTTTCATCGCACGGTTTTCAATCACCTTTATGCCTCTGGATGCGAAACACACACAGATAAACAGATCATACACATGTTTTGTTAAGCATTTTATTGTTGGCCATTCTTAGTGAACAATTTCATTCCCTAAATAATGCATGCATTTTAGTGTGCAACTGATGTACATTCACATCCGATTATAGTGTTTGTTAATATTTTGATTTAGATTTAATTTTTGATTTAGATTTATTTTTTTATTTCAGTTAAAGTTTTAATAATTTTATTGTTTTTGTCTTTAAAAAAATGGCAAAATTTTTTTTTATAATTTTTTTATTTATTAGGTCTAGTTGATTTCATTTTAGTAATTTAAGTAGATCAAGTTAAACTAAGCAGAAATAAAATAAGTTTATGTTGTTTTATAATTGTATTTTATTTCAGTAAATGTTTATATTGTTACAAATAACAATTTTATGGTTTTAGTTTTAGCTTTAGTTAACAATAATAACCCTGATGTACATGAAATAACACTTGTCACATTATGCAAAGCAGAGAGGATTGCTAAACTCAAAAATCTGCAGTGAAATAAAGCTAACAAAAATTAAACAAACTTTTATAGCCATTAACTTATGCCAAGTGTTTTATCTTATTAACTGAGGTACCATTATGTTAAGACTGAACACAGAGGGAATGATGATAATAAGGTGGATATTATGACAATATTTGGTTCTGACCTGTCATTTTAGCATTGAAACCCTTGAGAACTGAACTGAGCTGGATGATGACATCACTCTTTTATGCAGAGCTGCTTTATAGATGATTTGAACTCATTCTATAATTGATTAACTTTATGCAGTTATTGAACCAAACTGAATCAACACTGAACTGATTCAGCTAAACAAAGATTGTTTACTGTAGTCTTTTTAGAGCTGATTTACAGCAGAAATTAATTCTGTTCGCATCACTGAATGATTATTTTCCTGTTTAACCATGTAAAGCTGTTTTGCAACGGTCTATATTGTGTAAAGCGATACAGAAATGATACAGAAATGTGTGTGTGTGTGTGTGTGTGTGTGTGTGTGTATAATACTGACCTCTCGCTCTCATCCGCCGCCTTCTCTGCCTCCTCCAGTTTCTGAAGCGCAGTGGCCAGTCTCTCCTGAGCTCGGTCCAGTTCCTCTTCCACCAGCTGGATCCTGCGGTTCAGAGCGGCTACGTCACCCTCCGCCTGTGCACATACAGAGAAGCAGTGGTTAAAGATCCCCGTTATAATCGAAAGGAATAAGGGAGGATCAAAGATCCTTAAGGAACAAGTGGCGCTCACTGCAGAGCCAAATGATACTCCCATTACGCCCAGAGAGGGGGAGCTGGGTGTCAAGCTCCGCCCATTATGACCAGAGAGGTGGAGCTGGGCGTCAAGCTCCGCCCATTATAACCAGAGAGGCGGAGCTGGGCGTCAAGCTCCGCCCATTACGACCAGAGAGGGGGAGCTGGGCGTCAAACTCCGCCCATTATAACCAGAGAGGGGGAGCTGGGCATTAAGCTCCGCCCATTATGACCAGAGAGTTGGAGCTGGGCGTCAAACTCCGCCCATTATGAACAGAGAGGTGGAGCTGGACGTCAAGCTCCCCCCATTACGACCCGAGAGTTGGAGCTGGGCGTCAAGCTCCGCCCATTATGACCAGAGAGGGGGAGCTGGGTATCAAACTCCGCCCATTATAACCAGAGAGGGGGAGCTGGGCGTCAAGCTCCGCCCATTATGACCAGAGAGTTGGAGCAGGGCATCAAGCTCCGCCCATTATGGCCAGAGAGTTGGAGCTGGGAGTCGAACTCCGCCCATTATGATCAGAGAGGTGGAGCTGGACGTCAAGCTCCGCCCATTACGACCCGAGAGTTGGAGCTGGGCGTCAAACTCCGCCCATTATAACCAGAGAGGTGGAGCTGGACGTCAAGCTCCGCCCATTATGACCAGAGAGGAGGAGCTAGACGTCAAGCTCCGCCCATTACAACCCGAGAGTTGGAGCTGGGCGTCAAGCTCCGCCCATTACAACCAGAAAGGTGGAGTTGGGGGTTAAACTCCGCCCATTAAGAGCAAAGAGGGGGAGCTGGATGTCAAGCTCCACCCATTATTACCAGAGAGAGTGAGCTGGACGTCAAGCTCCGCCCATTATGACCAGAGATGGGTAACTGGACGTCAAGCTCCACCCATTTTGACCAGAGAGGCGGAGCTAGGCATGTGAAAGCTTTTTACCCACAAAGAGTGAAAGCTCATTGTTTCAGTTTGACTCATTTGAATGAGAGTGTCCTCTGGCTCCTGCACAGATCACAGTGGGCCTCACCAAAGTCCTTTTAGGTCTCTGGCCTCACGGCTCAAACACGCATGTCATTATCATACCATTATAACTCCTTAAAAGTCACAAAGCAAAATGAGCAAAGATATTGGCTACAAGGAAAATATCAAACGCTTTTGGTCTTCAATGCACAGATATGTTAAGTAATGGAATTTACAGTTATTACGTTTCATTAAAGTATTTAATCCTATACTGTATAATATTTTATATATGAATTTAATAAACATGATCAAAACTTTGCTGATAAACCCAATCTATAACATGCCGTCTGTTTTACATTGCTTTATATGTTGTAAACAGAGTTTTTATCATAAAGCTAAGCACTTAAATAGCATCAGATATAGAGTGATGACTGATATTTATATGCATTTTATGTAAGTATTCTATTATACTGTTATAAGATCTCATTGGTTTACATTAAAGCTATCAGAATTGCCTCTTACTTTTTGTCCACTACCGCCATCTGAACTAAACTGCATATCAGGGAAAGCAAGAACTGATAAGAACTGATAAGAATGTAAAGGTGTTGAAATGCAATGTAAGTCGCTTTGGATAAAAGCGTCTGCCAAATGCATAAATGTAAATATCTTTGCTCATTTTGATTATTATTCAGGCTTTACGGGGTTAACTCCGTCTCAGATGTTTCTCCTATACACAAATGACTCAGTTTGTGTCATAGAGTAAGAGTTTAGAGCTATAAAATGAATGCGAATAACAGCTCAGATCATTTGAGACTGGGGTCAGTATAGGATGTTTGTCCACGAAACCATTCACAAGTAAATCAACTAGTGCTGATGTTCCTGGAGAGCATAAATCTGTTCTATATCTGCTGGAGGTGTAGCCTGGCTCCGCCCTCCTACGCACTTCCGCTCAATTTTATTTTCCTTCAGTACTACGTCTGGGATTGTGCTGTAGACTTTGGTTTCCAGAAATAATTTTTTTACCGGTCCAATCAGCGAACAGAGGGAGTGGCTGAGAACGATGACGTTGATGTAGCGCGTCAGTTTGAGTTGGAGTTCAGTAACGGCAGCGAAGAAAGACGTGAGAAAATCTATTCGGTCCGTTGTTGCAAAACTGCCGAATATACAGAAGTTAAAGCCGGAGCAAGATCAATGTTTGCTAAGTGTTGTTGGTGGCCATGATGTTGTGGCCCTCCTCCCCACGGGGTTCGGGAAAAGTTTGATTTTCCAGCTCACTCCGCTAGTGGTGAATGAGTTAGCTAAGGCGAACGATAGGATGCAAAGCCGATAGTTGTTGTCGTCTCCTCTTGTTGCACTAATGGAGGACCAAGTGAGGGAGGCAGAGAGGTTAGGAGTTGGTGCTGGGCAGCTCGGTGTGCACGATGATCACTGTACAGCATTTGCGGCAGATCCGAAACGACTGCAGCGGCGTATTGTTAATGATTACACCCAGCTTCGACAGTTGACTGAATACATCACTGTCCTTAGTGTCAAATATACATTTAGAATTGTTCCTTGAACTCTTAAATTCGATGAACAAAACATGCAGCTCTCGTTGACAGACATCTTATTCTAAACATAATCCTCTGATCATTCGGACTTGTTTTTTTTTATTGCTTAAAACAATACACAAGTAATAACAGAAAACATAATACAAAAACAAACAAAAAATAATAATAAAAACAAAAATAAAACAGTAGGGGGATAATATAAAATAAACATGAACAAGTTAAGAGAATTACATGACACTGAAAAAAGGAAAATAATTACAAACAGATAATGTTTTTAAGGCTTTTTTTTGTTCTCAGACAACTTAATTGAAAAGAGGTATTTTTAAAATTATTTCACAAATATAAGAAAGAGAGGTTTAGCATTTAGATATTTAGATTTATGAATATGGAATTCGGACAGACTTGTTGTTTCCAGCCGGTTTCGACGCATGACATACGTCACGACCACACGTTAGCGATTGGCTATGGCAGATCCTGAGTGACGCTGGGCAGATCCAATAGTTTTGAACTTTAACAGAGAACCCGCCTACAAGGAAGTAAACGTTTCTCAATGGAGCGAGGCCAGACTCTCTGTACAAATGAAATGTACGAGAGTCTGGTAGAACCAGGCTACTGGAGGTGAGGAACCACATCATAAATCCTTTCAGATCATTGCATCTGCTGCATAGTAAGTGACAACTCGTGCCTTTCCAAAGCTGTACGGCTGAAAAGACATCTGGGTCAAGAGTTTCAGAGCAAACTGCAACAAATAAGACAGGAAGTGAGGATGTAAAGAATGTTTGCTGCTGTATTCCATTCTTAGAAGAAAAGGTTCTAAATGGAACTTTAAAGGGTTCCGTCAGGCTCTTCATCTATAGAGAGTCCCTCCCCTCCGCTTCCGGCTCATGGGACCTTATTTCGGAAAAAATCTGTATGGTAGTCAATGGCGAGACACAACTTGTCTTTTTATTCCGTCTGAACTGTGCCCTGAATTACACATATGATGTTTGTCAATTTAAAAGATAATTATGAAAGTCAAGAAAGTCACAGTTTGTCATGAAACAGAAGAGTAGCATTTAGTTTAATGTGAAAATCGCTCAATGAACTACATCTCCCGGGAAGCGAAACACAGAGCGAGATCCGCTGCTCGTGTGTGTGCAGTCTGGTACAAAACACTCAGGCGTGACGGCGTAACGTTACGATTATAACGGAAGACTATAGAAACACTGACAGACGTTAGCTTCAGTAAAGTTAGCTTCAGTAAAGTTAGCATCAGTAAAGTTAGCTTCAGTAAAGTTAGCTTCAGTAAAGTTAGCTTCAGTAAAGTTAGCTTCACTCATTGAGAGGAAATGTGCCTTTGGGGTTTGTAGTCTTTGTAATTACGTATTTTCACAGTCTTATACCTCAACAGTTTCACATCAAACTGCGACTTTCTTGACTTTAAAATGTATCTTTTAAATTGACAAACATCATATGTGTAATTCAGGGCACAATTCAAATGAGATCAAAATATTTGTTGTCTCTCGCCATTGACTACCATACAATATTTTTCCTAAATAAGGTCCCATGGTGGTCGACCGGAAGGGGAGGGGCTTAGGCTCTCTATAGAGCCTTTTAGGGGTTCCCATCATGGCATCATGTTATGGGTTTAGTTTAATGTTTAAAACAGGTCTAAGTGAGCAGAAATTATGATGAGGTAACAGGTTTGATGTTTGATGTGGAAAACGGTTTGGAGTTTTTTCCAGATTCAGTCACTTCAAAAATAACGTTTTTCTCACCTCCAGGTTAAAGTGGTTTTCCAAACCCACCCTGAGAGACAGTATTTTGTGTGCACATTCAACACTTTATCATTCGCCAGGGGGGATTTTGTCCTTAGTTAGCTCTTGAGTTCACAACTGTTAGTTGTTTACCCCTTCTATGTTATTTGGTTTCGTCAAGCTGTTATATAAGCTCCTTTCTGTGTCTGTGTGAGAAGGTCAGTTTTTTAGTTCAGTTAACTTTGTGTTACAGGTCTATGTATTAAAACTTATATTTAGTTACTTTTTTTTTGCTGACCTCTTTAAGGCCTAGTTATTAAATTTGGTCTTCATGTAATTTTCCAACATTTTGGGTAATAAACCCCTTTTTTGAAACAGTCTCCTGTGTCCTCTAGCCTCACTGCTTTGGTCCCTGACAATTGGACCAAATGGACAAGCTGATTTAAAACCCATCAAGTTAAAAGTATTTTAAATCACACCAAAAGTCCATTTATGTATAGACACAAACCTTAAAGTCTTGACTACAAAAAAAACCAAAAAATTTTTCCACCATTATTGCCCAAGTTCATTTAAAACTGGTTGACTATAGAGGGGCATGTGGTCACATTATGGGGTAAGTTGTCACAATGGGAAAGTGCACTGATTTGTACTAGCCATATTCAACAACTTA